ATCTCTAGCCTAAATTAGCTGTAATTCATATTCCTCTCTATAACACAATATAACACTATCGTCAGAAAAGACGAAAGGGTAAATAACAGTTTTAGACCCCAATTCTTTGCCTGTTTTTCATCTTTCTTCACTACCAGTTGAAGCAGACATGGGGCAGGTGTGATGTTTTCAGAGGCCGTCTGAACAGCAAAGTCATTGCCGAACACCAGTTATATATAGCTCTCGTTTAGGTTGGTTGTTGTAGACCTGCTGCTGACAATATTTAGTAATGTTAGTTACGTGAATTGCGAAGAGCCTTAGCTCTTTTACGCTGCTAAGAGAGAACCCCTCTCCGTTTTACTGATTGAGCAGCTGAACAAGAAGTATGGCCAATGACGCTTTCAATTGAAATTATGTAATATGGTCGCTACAGACAGCATCTTATTCAAATATGCCTGTCTTGAGTACTGCTACACGCAGAAGTCTCATCTCTAGTCATCCTTACAGTCAGTGTTGCAGTCATCTGAATATTATAACAATATAAAGAATAATATTTTCTTTAATGAGATGGACGAATCTGACTGGTTATAACACAATTTTATTGTTTATTTTAAAAAGTAAGCAATTGCTGCAATTTTAAACGGCTACACTGAAAAAGACAGAACAGTTTATCAAAATGCCCCCTCTCTCTCTCTCTCTCTCTCTCTCTCTCTCTCTCTCTCTCTCTCTCTCTCTCTCTCTCTCTCTCTCTCTCTCTCTCTCTCTCTCTCTCTACCACTTTCTTTCAGTTTTCATTGAATGCCTCACAGTTGCATCTGAGGCCCGCCACTACTCACATCGGGAGCGTTTTGGCCCTCTCCCTCCCCCCCCCCCCCCAAAAAAAAAAATTGGTCTAAAGCTGCTACCACCCCCTCCCCCTCCCCGAACCGTCCTAACGCCCCCACCTCTTTTTTGGAAACACTGATCTATCATTTGTGTCATGTTGGAGTGCCAATAGAAAAAAAAGACCCACTGTGGAATTGTGGCGTCAAATCAGATGGGAGGCAGGAGGGGTTACTCAGCCAGACAGACAGGCAGGCAGGCAGACAGGTAGACAGGCAGGCAGACAGTCAGGCAATTAGAAAGAATTATTCCAGTGAAAATTTCAGATAATGAATTAATGATTTCACACGTTACGCTTATTTGTGTACTTCTGGAATGTGTAAGCCTGTTTACATTTTAACAGTGTTGATTTTTTTGTTACAATAAATTAATGCATGAATTAACAAAGACATTAGAATTTCAATAATAATAAAAGTGTTAAATTCATCAGTGTTTTTTAACTTGTATTGGGAAGAAACAAATGAAACCTTTAGAAAAACATTTAATCAGAGGTTTGCAGAAATTTCAAAAAAAAAAAAAAAAAACAATTGTTTATTTGCATTGTGAAGTAATGTAGGGGACCGAGATAGAGGGAGACAAAAAACAAACAGCAGGCGGACGCATGGACAGACAGACAGCCAGTCAGACAGCTAGACCCGACAGACAGACAGACAGACAGACAGACAGACAGACAGACAGACAGACAGACAGACAGACAGACAGACAGACAGACAGACAGACAGACAGACAGACAGACAGACAGACAGACAGACAGACAGACAGACAGACAGACAGACAGACAGACAGACAGACAGACAGACAGACAGACAGACAGACAGACAGACAGACAGACAGACAGATGGATAGAAGGTAAACCCGACAGACAGATAAACAGACAGACTGACAGGTTTCAGTAGGCTCAAAAAGTGGGGGTGGGGGAAGATGTTTGTTTTAGTATCCAGAAGCCATGAGTTGTTAACCCTTAGGCTCGGTATTATGGATATCGCAACCTTTCGGCATTGATTCCCTTGTAAATACCGTAAATCTGGAAGAAAATGTGGCTTTTCTGCCTACCCCCGGGAGTGAGCCCGGACCACAAGGTCACCGCGCAATCCGGTTTAGCCAACTACGCTGGACAGCCGGGCAAAGAGGGGGGGGGGGATATTAAATTGAGAGATGTGACGACACCAAACAACATTAGAGTGCTCTGCGATTCAAAATGTCAATGTAATGTTAAAAGGAAGCCGGGGATTATCCCTTTCAAATACGGGCAAACCACAAGCAGGAGTGAGCCACATCAGTGGACGGCCATGACCTGTCAGGAGTGACAGTAATGGGCTGCCACCTTAACACAGCCAGGCGAAACAACGAATGATTTGTCACATGCCTTCTCATAGAGAAAAAAAAAACAGTAGCACAGCACGGGGCAAATCTGGGTATAGGTCATACCAGTTAGCTGCCCAACGGATACAGTGATTCCCATGAAACTTCTCTGGGTAAATAGGAAATGGGAAACGGAAGTGGATACATGGAGACTGTCACAAGGATACATAGAGACTGTCATGGAAAGGATATATGCCGTTATATTTCAATTAAACGCCGTCAAAATGTCGCCATTTCCGTGTGAGTACTGGGCCTCCATTTCTTTTTTTTTTTAATCACACACACACACAAACAGGGGGTGGGGTGGGGGGTGAGGGTTAACCCAAGGCACTCCTAACAATCAGGTGGCTATAGGCGAATAATTAGGGCTTTGCTCGCCTGGATTCACTGTGTAGTCGATCTAGCTTTGAAGTATTAGGAACATTTCGGTTGTGATTACGTGTACTCAAAACAGTATATATGGGATTGGGGGTTATGGGGGGGGGGGGGGGGGCGGGCTTGGCACCATAAAATACGTTTCTTGTATGGTGAAATATTAAAATGATTACCTTACAACTAGTTGGATCAAACACACTTATTTATTATACATTCATTTCTTTATATTTGAATGAAAGTGTCTCGTACTTTTTGTAATTGCAAATTCTATGATCACATCTGTGTGTCCGTTTCCCCCTTCAGGATGCTACCTGATGATTTTGACCACACGTGCGACTCTAAAAATCCCATCCTGGATGACAATCAAAGAGGACAAAAATCAGATTCACATTTCAAAAGAAATTATAATTATGGTACTAGTGACAGTTAGGGAGCCGCCAAGTACCGTTTGGTCTGTAAAATACAGGTCTAGCCCTATACACCCAATACGCCTGAAAAGCGTGGAAAGGGGGTTCTTTACTTTTACTAGTGAGAGTTGAACCAGGTTTTATACCCTGCATTCCTGTGCAGATAAGAGCAATTTGGTTACTGTTAAAAATATCGTGAAAACTACTCTTACGTAAAAATTTTTAGTAAAGATAAGACAAAAACTGCTTACATCTGATACCCGTGACGTCATGGATTAACACCAACGTTACTGTTGGCTTAGTGTTTTAGGCACAGCCTTGTGGTAGTCTTTGTAGAACTATGTTCAGCAACACAATCTGCTGGTAGCACTGTGTTCCACCCCTAAGGAAGTTTTTTTTTTTTTTTGTGTTTAAGTGAAATCTGAAGTGCTTTCGTTTTTATTCACCACAAACAAACAGTCCAATATTTCAGGGGCGGGGAAAGGGGGGGGGGGTAGATTCGCTGCACGCAGTCGTGGGACCTAGGTTGCATGCAGTTGAGGGACCTAGGCTGCACTCTCTCGTGCGACGTAGGTGGGTTGGGGTTAGGTCCAGTTCTAAGTGTTTTGGGGTAGTTAAAAGCACCACGAAGCCGGGAAATCTGGTCTTACCCAACCCCCCCCCCCCCCCCCCCCTAAAAAAATCGGACTGTTCCCGTGACGTCCTCTGGGGTGACACAACAAAAGAACCGAATCTTGTTTAGCTGCACCTTGTATTAGCTCTTGCATCTGACCCATGCTAGAACCGGCAATGAAAATTGTACGTCTCCTCTCCCTTATTGTCTTAAGAACGATACCCCTTACTCCACTCTCCCTTTTTTGAAATATTGGTCCAGACCTGTCTAGGACTCACGGCTGGTTCATGGGTTGATTACAGTATTTGTTGGGGTTAGTGGAAAACAAATCATATCAACAACTAAGAAAGTTTCTGTCTTGCAGATTAAAAACATAACGAAGCACCGCCCAGCTGCCAAAGACAAAACATGCCATTCAAAAGTCACCTAACATCTTCAGTTCATAAATTATATTTTCATCAACTGAAAGTGAGTACTGACTACAGTAATTCCCGAAAATCGCCCGTAATCAAGAGTGACTCACTGCCTGTACTACACGCCACTGAGACTTAGCAGATGTCTCTTTCACCAAAAGACCGTTGCCAGTGCCTGGCATTGCAATCCCCGACCCGTCTCTTTGCTGTGGCCCTGGTGCAAAAATCAATGTTTCACCGGCCGCTAGGAAACGCCGGGGAGTCAGACCGTTGAATGCCCCCTGCCCTAGAACCTCTCGCGGCCTATTTTTGGAACCGGCGCTTTCCACGTGAATTATATCACCACCAGGGAGTACACCGGAAAGCTGATAAACAAAATGAATTGCAGCTGTGATACGACGTCCCTAGCATTCGGGACGATCAATGCTTCATATTACATAAGCCATTTGCATTCGATGACAACTTAGTTTTGTGTGTGTTTCTAACTGGCGGGCCGCTTCGTTAGTTTCTGCTGTGGTATAAATTTTGTGACTGATAATCGTTGCTATAATTACGGGGACCATTTGTGTCGACATACACTGTTTGGCAACAGATGAAAGACATTCAATATTCACGTGAGTAAACGTCGCTTCGGCAACATGTGAAGTTTGTGTATGAGACACCCTCGAATCAATATGTTCGGCAAATGTGAGACTTGCTATAATGCCGACGCTTGCTGTAGGCTACGTGTGTTCAGTGTCGAAACACAGCAAGTTCTACTGTACAGAACCAATTAGATAGGAAATTTTCATGGGATGCTGTGCTCCTTTATATTGGCAATAATGAAAAATATTATCTGAGTTTCACCAACCTGGAAATGTTACCTTAACTACAACTGTGGTATTACGAATACACAGATGTTTATTAACAAGTAAAGTCTGTTTATTTGCATCTCATTCTGCAACCAGTGTGTTCAAGATCACAGACACCATGAGTCCGCCACCAACCTATATTGACCTACACCCAGACAGCGATTTTCCCTTTCTGGTGCCTCCATTAAGGGAATGTCTGACAACACACGCACCCTGTAATATGGGTTTAGGGCCCAAGAATACCACCAACTACTGGAATGAGATTTCAGACTACTTCTGTTTCCTGGCACTGCCCGTGATCGTTACCTTCGCTGTACTCACCGAGTTGATGAGCATCGTTGTACTGGCCCGCCAAGTGCGCCAATCACTGGACACTTATCTCCTGGGCCTAAGCCTGGCCACACTGCTGCTGTTGACCTGCACCACCTTGCTTGCCCTGCAACACTATGTCGGTCCACACCATCTACTGGTCTACAGCCAGCCCTACAGCGCCTCCTGCAGGGACTGGTTCTGGTACAGCGCCATCTGGCTTCTAGTTATGATGAGTTTCGAACGTGTGCTCACCGTGTCTGCGTCTCGAGCCAACATACTTTGCACATCTGCTCAAGCTGCTGTTGTTGTGGTGATGGTGTTCGCTGTTGGACTGGTCAGTTCTTTGCCACGCTTCTGGGAATACCAGGCTATGGAAATCATGGACCATGCCACCAACGCCAGCTTTGTCATAGCCCAGAAGACTATCTCCACGGCTACAGAAGAATATAACACAATGTACTTCTGGTACGTAAAGGGGGTCACTCTGTTTGTCCCATACTTTATGATGATAGCCATGTCTGTGGTAATGGGGTGTCGCACGCGGCGGGGTGTGTTAACACAGCGCTATATGGCCATCAAACACACCAGCGGCCTCACGCTGACTCGGAAAATCAAAGAGGAAGTGGCGCTGACACAGCTGCTGATCTTGCTGATGGTACTATATATGATCTGCTCCGCTCCCAGTGCTGCACTGGATCTGGTGGCTCATCTGGCCCCCTCGTGGATGGACCCCACATCTAGGACGTATGCTAGCTTCTACAACTTGTTTACCGTCATGTTCTTTTTTCAGTTTGATCTCCATCTGATTATTTACTTTTGCTTCAATAAGCAATACCGACTGACTCTGCTGGCATTGTTCTGCTGTTGCTGCTGAAACCAAACCCGCGTTCTTTCTACAAGTTGCCAAACCCTACCCAGTAAAGATATCCCATGTTTATCATAAAGCAGCTGAAGCTTCACTTCGTAACAAGTCAACTTCTATGTAGATTTCCATGATGAAATACATCACATGACGCTGCTAGCCTCGATCTGAGGTTACCAAAATAAGCAGCCCCAGCCCCTCATGGCGGTCGTGACAAGCCCTTACAGCTCAACCAAACTGGACAGTTTTCCTGCTCATAATACGTGGATATATACCTAGGTAAAGCAAACTGGGTTCCTTCAGTATGTATTGATAAACAACACAGTAAGGCTGAGAATTTTCAAAATCTGGTACACATTGTTTACAAAGAAAACCTGAATTCATCCATTGGTAAACTGGGATGAACTAAACCTGCAACATAACCACTGAAGCATAGACGACGTTAGTCAAAAGCAAGTGTTTGTGAGTAAATATATTACTTTTGGGCATAAAGCTTGAACCGGCTGTGAAATGTTTCATTGTTAGGTGTCCACAGTGCTAAATTCGCAACCTCAGTATGAAGTCACAAAACAGTGAACAAAATGCTCGATGTCAATGCTCAAGTGTGAACGGCGTATTTTTTACGGTATGACTGTTCAAGTGTGTGCCTAGACAGTTCTCAGAGGTTACGAGTCAAGGCCACTTGCTCAAGCTGTCGCCTCGTAGCGTACAGACTATGTTTTTACTGCTAAACAAATTATTGTAACTTATTGTCATCAATGCTGTGTTTACATGCATTTTCTTGTTTTGGCAGAAGACCTGTGACAATTTAAGTAGAAATTCTCATTTGTGTTCCAAGGAAACGTACTGAGCACATATTTCTCAAAGACGGTAGTGGGTACACTGTATTCAACCTTAATTGTCGAAATGGCACGCAATTATAATTTAACTCTTTCGGTACTAAAAGGTTTAATAGGAAATACATAAAGTGATAAGGAAACAAAAAAACACGATGAATTAATTACATTCAAAGTGGCAATATACACAGTGGGAGTGATCATTTGGTCAGGCCAGGTTTGTTTAGTTTGTTCAGACCAAGTACACAAAAGTAAGAGAGCCCATTATGTTGTAGAATTAAATAAGGAGGTAGATCCACTTACATACCAGGCGTTGCTCGCGACCGAAAGAGTTAAGTTACGTCTCTATTCCCCATGATCAAACCTTGCATGTAACTCAATATGGCCATTGTTAGGTCAACGACTATCCCCGTGTCCGATACATCTGCCACATCCACTGTGATAAGACTAGTTCGCGGTCGTAAGGACATGGACAGTATGCTATCACTTCTTCAGACTGCATTAAAAAATGAAAACCGGTTGCGAGGCAAAGAAAGAATATTTGCCAGTCAGAGCCTTCTGGGTATGCTGAGCATGGAGTCACTAGGATAACTGCTGTATCGAAGGACGGAGCACGAATGGGTTGGATCGATGTGCTAGGATGTCGATACGGACAAGTAACTGCCACATAGCCTGTGTCTGTTTTAGGTCACTGCTAATAATGTGCCAAAGACGTACAGCTAAATCAGAAACTTCCAGAAACTGCATGCACCTCAGTCTCTTGCCACAGTTGCTTTTTTAATTTGACGGTTTAGAAGCTTTAATCTGTCAATCGTCTCAGGGCGTTGTCTTCCGTCGACACATGTGGAGAAAGCCGTTTAAAATGCTATATGTTCATAACGTTCCATCTTCTCTACTGCAGTTTTCGCCGTGTAATTTCCAGTTATTTGATACTTTGCACACTGGACCCAATACTGTCAGGCCGTACAGATGTTTGGTTAAAATGCTTTCACCAGTCATGGGATGGACCAGCGTGGGCGAAAGTGTAGTGAACATCTCTGTTTTCCTACCACGTATTCATCCCAAAGTCTTGAGACGCAGTTTACTGCACATTATCGTTAAGACAACACAGTTGAAGAAGAAATCCTTTTCGTTTTAGAATACTTTACTGCTTTCTTCGACCCAGTTTAAAGCAGCAATGATGTAACATTGGGTACAAAATCAAGGTTACACCATTAAATTTTACAGGAGTTTGGAAAATACAAACAAATATTTCTCTAAAATAATGTGCACATAAGCAATCTTCTTCTTCTTCTTCTTCTTCTTCTTCTTCTTCTTCTTCTTCTTTTTCTTCTTCTTCTTCTTCTTCTTCTTCTTCTTCTTCTTCTTCTTCTTCTTCTTCTTCTTCTTCTTCTTCTTCTTCTTCTTTTCTCCTTCATCTTCTTCTTCTTCCTCCTCCTCATCATGATCATCTCCCTCTTCTTCCTTTTATTCTTCACTTTCTCTTTTACTGCATCGGGTGTCACTGGAGATTATAGGGTTCACATCTCGCACTTCTGGCCGCCTGGACCAGAGAGACACACATCGTGCGCTTGTATAGTTTCTAATATGTTTTCTTTCCAACTTGTTCTTGGTCTATGCTCTACGTTCCATTTTGGTGTATGCCTTTCATGGTATGGCGTCATAAGACATTCTCTTTGAGTCAGCAAACCATTTGTCTTTTGTGTATAATTTAAAATAGGTTCTGCGCCGTCCTGTTTCTCTTATGACTTCATACTGATTTTACTTCTCAGACATCTCAATTTAATGGTTACTAATTGTTGTGTCTGGTTTGTAGCAGGTGGCCATGAGATCGAATATGCTCTGTTTGAGATGTTTCTCCGTGCTGCTCTGGGTTGTCTTGCGTTTTAAATAGGAGATTGGGTGGGAAAGAGGTTACAGTGCAGCATCCCAATACCTTAGACAATTTATTCCCTAGCATGTTTCCCTATATCTCCTCAGGTGCATTATACAGAGTTAAATATACATATAGTTGCGTATCCTTTACAGGACGTTGCAGCACCAACCCTAACAGCCCCTGGCTGTTGTGTGGTTCATCTAGGCAATTTACATCCAGTAGTTTGCCATTCCTACTGGACGGTCGGCTTTCTTGATACCACTGTCGAAACCAACGCAAGGCGCATTGCCCGCAGCTGGGATCAAACCTGGCATCCTGGCATTACGAAGCGAAGCGTTCGCATTGACTTAGCCACAGAGCCGACAAATATACATATATGAAGTATAAAATTGAATCTTTTTCACTTAAATACACAAATCATATTGTCAAATTACACTGTACATCTCTGTGCTGTGTGGTTTTGTGTATCTATTTACTTTTTCACACGTTTAAAAGCATCATGTAATGTGTTACATTGTACAAAGAAACAATTAAATTTCACTGCCTGATAAGGGCCGTCGTACGGTAACCTATTACTCCCAGACCCGACAAAGGTCTCATCACCTTACAATCGGGATTTTTGGGTGTCAGTTAAACATGCAAACAAACAAACTTTTCATTCGTTAATTTTGTCTTTCCCCTCTTAAAACTGTTGAAATGCGCGAGGCTATATAGCTGAGACGATCAACCAGTGTGGACTGTCGTGTGTAATCCTTACTGGTTAATGCTTGCAAAAACTTAGTGGTTTCAGAGTGAGTTCCTGTAACTGCATATACGTTGCGAGACGTGCATGTAACGGTTACAATCGTAGCTATAACTTTCCATTGCAAAAAGTAAATTGCATTAATCTTTTAGTACTTGATATTATTGTTTGCTCTGTATTACAAATAAGCTATTCGGTTGATGTCTCTTCAAGCAGGTAAAGCTTGTAAAAAGTATTAACATAGTAAACAAATACGCTGGCTGCATGCTTACGCTACTCATGCAGAAACTGAAACTCGTTAAAGCTACCAGTTGCTGGTACAACAATACCAGTTGTGCGCCCATATTCTCAATATCGCCGCGACGAGGAAAAGAATAATGCCCTCTCTGGTGTAATCGATACTGCTAACGCTTACACTTGTGAATTTATGAGGCCTCGCCACTGCTGCTGTCTGTCTGCGGTTGTACATAGTTTCCCACTGCGAGGCAACGGTGGACACTCGTTTCATTGTGGTAAGTAACGCAGAGATCTGCTGCCAAATAGTCTGCAGTTGAAACAAATCTGGCATGTCAAAATTATGAAACAGCGTTCACAGCACTTAAGCTACAGTTTGCAGCAGGCTAATGCAGAAAAAAAAAAGAAACGAGTCATATAGCAGCAAATCTTTGAGACCCTGTTCCATCGTATAAAACAGATCTTTTTTGTTACCCTACAATCACAAAGTAACTGACTATCCAACGAGTAAAATCACTAATCCAGCTCTTTTATTTATGTATACTTTTATTTGTAGACATTCATTTGTTTTCAGTTTCAGTAAATCTGATCAATTACAGCCACCGATGTACGATACTCACAGCCAACGCCAGTAACAGAAGAAGAACAACCATTCCCTTTTGAAGAAACAAAAATCAGTGGCTAGAATTCATTTAACAATGCAAAGTCAAGTGACCAAGATCCACAGTTGTATTATATTTAACAGTACATGCTATTTAAAATACTTAACACAGCTATTGGGTTTTTATTCCCTGAAATTATACTTTGGTAATTCTTTTGTCGGCTCTGTGGCTAAGTCGATGCGAACGCTTCGTAATGCCGGGTTCGATCCCAGCTGCAGGCCATGAGCCCTGCGTTGGTTTCGACGGTGGTATCAAGAAAGCCGACCGTCCAGGAAGCAATGGCAAACTACTGGACGTAAATTTGCCTAGAAAAACTACACAAAAGTCAGGGGCTGTTAGGGTTGGTTTTGCAACGTCCTGTAAAGGATACGCAACTAATCTAATTCTCGATAGCTGTTCAAATGTGAAACTGCTTATTGTGCCGCTTATTGTGCCGAATTACTTACCACACAGTGCTTAATTTAACGATTACAATTCGAACATGACATGCATTTTTGTCCTGGGCTGTTAATATAATTTATCATTATTACTATTATTATTATAATTATAATTATAATTATAATTATTATTATTATTATTATTATTATGTGTTCGCCCTTAAAATGAAGATGGACACATTTTGCTGCGGTTTTCAGCTAGAATGCGACATCTACGTCTTTCGA